ATTAATTTTACAATAAGAGTCTCCTTAAGAAAAGGCTAATACATACCTATGATACTCGGCAATCATACTTTGGGATGTAGAACTGTACTTAAGACATAGAAAAATGTCCACAGCATTACATATATCAAACATCAGTGCAAATATCAGATTGCAAAATAGCATGCAGAGAATAAAACTATGAAGGTAAAATTATGATCATATGTATACGTTATATCTATATACATATGGTATATAGGTGAATTTAAAAATACCCAGAAGAATGCTGAACAAAATATTAGTATGATTAGCTCTAGATAGTGGGATTTCAGGTGATTTTGGCATACATTTTAGAATTTTCTGTATTTTTATTGTAATTTTTCAATAAATGCATATTATTTTGGCAAAAACAATTATTTTCATAAGAAAAAAATTTAAAGTATAGCTTACCAGGTTATTTAGCTTAAAAGTATAGTCTTTCCTTGACGAGCACATGATCCAAAGTGAAAAATGCTCAACTGAAGGCATATTATCACCTGGACAGGCAGCCACAAGGGGCAGAGTTCACGTGGACTGGAGGCCGCCTCCAGGAAGGCCTCATCTCGCCTCCCTGTGAGTCCCTGCTCTTCTGTCCCCTTGCCTGACCCCTCTCCCTACCCCCAGTGCCCCAGCTTCTCTTCATTCTAGGCATCACCCAGACCGCCCCTGGAGAGAGCTGGGTGAGGGAAGGGTCTGCCTGCAAATCCTGGCCCTGGAGGGTGGAAAGCACTAGAAGCTGTGGGTCACTTGCATTATAAAGAATGGAACGCTCTCCAGAGTCCCACAGGAAACTAGTTCAAGGTGCTCTGTTGAATGCGAGACCACCACATAAACCAAATTGCTACCATTTTTGGTCCTCTGCACAGATTGCCCATTTTTCTCCCGGAAACCCAGAATGGGGAGGCAGAGAAGGTGGCTGAAGCCCTCGAGGCAGGCCTCCGCTTGGCCAGCTAACAGCCTCGCGGGTCTTTCTCTTCATCTGTAAAAAAGGGGCTTAAGTGAGTTATGGTTATGTGCCAGTTTTTTAACTTACAGTCTTATGTTCAACAGTTATTTGTGTGCTACCCACCTGCCAAGGCTGGCCTGGGGCCTCAGGATAGGGGGTGAAGGGAAAGGCTAAATCCTTGCCCTGGGGGGCTTGCATTCGAATGGGTGGGAGTGGGGAAGACAGTGACCAAGCGGCTAAGGGCCCGAGTGGGGAACAGGGTGCTGCTGTTTATAAGGAGTGATGGCAAAGGCTTCCTTGATAAGTGACATCAGATAGGCGGTGAATAAAGGGACACAGTGTCCCCTTAGAAATGGGTCACAGCAATCTCTTACTTCCAGTGGATTTTATCTAGCCCTGCAATCCACTTAGATTCTCTGATCTGAAAATCAAGTGTTATTTACATCAGATCCACCTCTTACATTTTCACTCTTATGAGACACATTCAGTCACTCACTCACTGATTCTAATAAACGAATTTTATTATGCTCCTGGGTCTGTTGGAAATTGCAGAGATATAAGCATGAGTAAGGCATGGTGTCGACCTCCAAAGAGCCCAGAGTTTAGTGGGGGAGGCAAACAGCAGATGTTTATAAAACAGCATGTTAGGCACAGTGATTGAAATAAACGTGAGGGACAGAGGAGGGGCTGCTAGCCTGGCCCAAGTGAGGGGTGCTTCAGGAAGAATTCCCGGCAGCAAAATCTTTGAGATTGGCCTAAAATCGCTCTAAGGAGCAGCGGGGTAGCTGGGCATTTCTGTCAGAGGGGACCCGTGAGAAGGGCAGGCAAGTGAGCAATGCACAGGGTGCTTAAAGGAAAAACCTAGAGTTCTGACTGGGAGCTGCAGGCTTGGGGTTTGCATTGGTGCAGGGTGAGGGGTGGGCCGAGGCTGGAGCACAGTCCTGGAGGCCAGGGCGGCTGGTCCCAAGCTTCCTGAGGACAAAGTCACTTCAGATCCACCGATTCTGCTGCCTGAGCCTTGCCGGTCCCAGGCAAGAAGAATAAACTCAGTTCTTCGTGACTGTTACCCAGTGTTCGAATCACTCCTGCTCTGAGACAGGCCCAGGGTGCTGCTGGGCTGGGGAGTCAGCCTGAAATCACAGTTGTTTTGTATTTGGGTGATAAACGGTTATAATGCCAAGACAAAAATGCTGGTCCAGCTCATGTTCAAATAGCTGTCATGTGGGAGGGAATTCTCTTTGGCTGACGAGTCCAAAAAAAAAAAAACCCAACAAAAAACACACACCCATCACCCAAACACTCCTTTCTGCTTTTTCCGAAAGGGTTTATGTCCACAGCAGCTGTTCTGTGTCACAATCTACAAGTGGGGAAAAGGAGGGTTCTTTTTTTCTTTCTCCAAAAAAATAAAAAAAAATAAAGCAGTAATCCATTTCTGTCCCAGAGTTATTTCCTGAGATGAGAGCCCTGGCAACTCCCTCTTTCCAGCTTCCTCCCGGGCGAAGGGCTTTTCCCCAAGGGAAGTGTCCTTCACAGAGCACAGCTTGGAGAAGCCCGAGCGAGCGCACCATATGTGGGCCGCAGGTTTCCTGCCTCGCTCCGCTCCGGCCGGGCAAAGAGAAAACACGGGGCCAGGGAGCCTTTTTCCGAGAGGAGGCTGGCTGGCAGGTTGAAACCCTTGTGCCTTTGGGCTGGGCTTCAGATGACACTGCCAGCTCCCAGAGTCCCTTCTCTGGCAACTCTGGAAGTAAAGCAGGAACCCAGAGGGTGAAGGTCTTTTCTTGCTTGGGGGAGTCTGGAAAGGTTCGTAGGGCCTATTGCTCACGCCTCGCACTCTGCCATCTTCCAAGATTCCCTCTTCCCCACACCAGCTGAATGAACCGGCCTCTCTTCCCCCCATGTGGCTGGTCAACCACTCATCACATTATATTGTAGTTATTCATATGTGGTCTGTCTGCTCTACTGCCTTAGGATGGAGACTCTGTCTTTCTGGGTTTTATCCTGAGTCTGATAGAATGTAGGGTCGATGAGAGCAGGGATCTTTGTCTACCGGTGTGTTTCCAGTGCCTAGAACAGTGCCTGGCACATAGCAGGCACTTAATAATTATTTACTGAGCAAATGCACAAGTTCCTAAGGAAGGGAGCCGTTGGCATGCTTGGTGAATGAATGATTGAGGTCTGTGATGACTCGGGATCTGTGAGGTTCTGGGGGTGGAAATTGGTGGGGAGGATGCTGAGTGGCTTCCCGATCCCTGCTCGTTTCCCAAAGGTATAAGCTGCCCTGGAGGGCCCCGGAGGGATGACCAACCTTTCCCTAGGGAACCTGGTCATGGTTAAGTCATTCTCACTGTTACACAACCACGTTAAATTCTAAGTCTCATCATGAGTAGATCAAAAACATTGAAGGGGGCGGTGCACGAGTCATTAGGACTCTAAAACCTGATTTTAAGATTAAGCAAGGAACGCTTCGGTAGCAGGAAGCATGGAGCTGGCTGAGACTAGCCTTAGAAAACACTGTGAGGACGAGTCCACGCTGACCTCTTATTCAGCCCTCAGTCCGATTTCATGCTCAATGCCCAGTGCAGAGCCTGACACAAGGTAGCTGCTCACTAGGTTTGGAAACAAACTCTGAATAGGTGACTACAGATACAGATGTTAACAATGTCCTTGGACTAAAGGACTTGGACCTTTTTTTAATCCTGTGTTACCACTGGGGAGTCCTCCCTGGGCGGGGAGAGAATTTTGCTGCAGTGGCGATCAATTCCCTGCAAAACTAGACACAAAATCTTGAGTAACACAGCCTCACTACCTTTAGTGTCTTCTCCTCCTGTTTAAGTTAGTGTTACTTTGACGGCTTTGGGAAGAAAATTCTACTTTTTAGAAAAAAATGACATCATAAAAAGGTAAAGTTCCAGTTAAAAGCAATAAGCACAGTTCTGGGCTAAGTCAGGATCATTTCATGTTGCTCAGACTATCTAACTGTGTCACTGGAATACATTTGATATGAAAGCAGCTATTGCTCATTGGCTATTGTGCTGTATGGAGATGGTGAACCAAAGCTGCAAATTGAGGATGACACACAGTACTCTTTATTTTTCTCGAAAGGTGTGAGGGCTTTAAATGTTGGCAAGGAGACAGGAAAAAGACAGACAAATACAAAGCAGTTGCGTTGAAACTAAATCGTAACTTTCTAACAATACGAGCTTGGCCTCTGAATGATATGCTTAGGAATTTAACCTTCTAAATTATTCCAGAAAGATATTTTAAAAGTATAAGATATGGAATTTATGAAAGTGTGTGAACCAGTGCACTTTAGAAAGCCTCTGGGTCACCAGAAGTGTTTGATATACAAGTGATTTTCCTGATAACCCACAGCTAGCTGGAAAGTCCCTCAGCCCAGAACATTCCTTAAGCTTTCTGGTCATTTAAACGTTCAGTGTAGATAATAGCTCTCAACGAGAGTTACTTAATAGCCCTACTCCTTTCTTCAAGATGTACTGTTTAATCCCGTTTCCAGGTCTTCTGTCTGTTCCTCCGTATCTTGGGTCCTGGCTAACGGGTCTGTTTGGTAGAGCTTTTTCATTCTTAATTTCTTCCATCTTCTCTCTATTTTTTCCTTTATCAATCTGTTTATGCCACCAGTGTGTACTGCGTGCCAGCTGTGTGCCAGGCCTGGTTGGGTGGAGGGAGGGTGAAGTAGGGGTGGGGATGTTACTAAAAAAGACACACGAGACCTAGTTCCTGCCCAGAAACCCTACAAAAGGGTCTTTTTTACACTCTTTAACTGCTTGTCTTCTGCCTCACTCAGAGGCTGTCCACCCTCCGTGCTACTTTGCCGTCAGGGGACTGGCTCTGCCTTGGGTCTGTCCTGCTCTCTGGTTGCTGGGGTCAGTCGCTTCATCCCTCTGAGTTATTTTTCCCCAACCTCTAACACAAAGAGGTTCCTAAAGGAGACTCCAGCCCTCAGATTCGAGCCATCCTGTGGCTTCTAAGGCACCCATTGGTGTGTCCAGCGGCTCAGTGAACCCTCTCTCCCATGCAGGTGCTGAAGATAAGATGAGCTACTTTGTGGATTCTGCAGTGAATGGCCCCACCCCGTACTCAGCGGCGCGTCCTGCGGTGGCGGTAAGTGGGGTCTCTTCCAGGTCCCCCTGGCCTCCCTCCCCTGCCTTCTCTCCTCCCTTGTGCCTTGACCTTCCCTCGACCAAGGAGCCAGGGACCCAGCTCCAAAGTTAGAGTCAGCTTGGGATCTTTCGGAAGAGCTAGATTGTGAAATTATGTCTTTTTATCAGCATATAAAGTAAAAATCCAAGACTGATGGATTGACTGGGAAAGATTTTGCAGTGTTTGTGTTTCAGAGACTGTGTCTCAAGCATGATGAACAGGTAAAGCCAGGTGATTTTTTACTGCTCAGTTCACTTGGCAAGGATTTTTCATGTACTGATGCATCTAAGTTGAATTATGCTGACCTATTGTCAGCATAATTAAACTTAGTTTTGACCTCATACATAAAGCACGGAACACAAGCTTTCTAATGACAGAATCTGAAACTAGGAATGTGATAATAAGTTTATAAGAAAATCTCATAAATTGTAAAATGAGAGGGTAAAGAAACTTTAAACTAGGACTACATGGAGTCTCTTGCCCTCAGGGGAGAAGACTCACCCAGACTGTGTGCCAATCGGTAGAAATGTTGAGATATATTTCTCATAAATTATTATGTGAGATCCCATAATTTTCATTCATCAATTCCAATGTTAAATGAAACTTTAATATTAGCAGATGTGCATTCACTATTCATTCTGAATTCTGTGTGTTTGGTACTAAGACAGCCATCATAAACGTTGAACTCTTTTTACTTGCTCTGGTAATGGACAGATACGTTTGATGTTAAGCCTCCCCGGTACATTTATGGGTCTAAATAGATGCCCATCCACCAGAGCTTTTTTTCTGACTCCAGTCTTTGGCTGTCTAGCCTGAGACTCTGCAGATTTTTTGGCACTGGTACCTTTAAGTTAACCGTAACCTCCCACTGTAATTCTTTATTGAAAGACCTCATGTGTTTGAAAATTATTTTCTCCAGTATTGAAAAGTTAATTACTCAAAAGCTATTCTGTGTTTAAGGGGCGGTGAGCACACCTCTACTGCTGTTCTGTTACACGTTTCTTCTTAGAAAAAGGCTTCTGTTTTCATATAAGCACCATTCACTATTCTAAAAATACAAGAATTAAGGAAAGGTTTAGACTCCAATTTACATCAGAAATGTGTTTTAAAACATACGAACACACACACATAACAAGAGTCAGTGGGTTTTGCTTAGTGGCAATTGCCGAGGGACTTGTACATTAAGGTCACAAAGGGGTTGCAGAAGCTGCCAGGGAACAGCTCCTCCCGTTTTCCCCACAGCTCAGCACAAATTACATGAAAGTTTTCTTAAAGATGATCTTGTAGAGATTTATTCAACATAAGTAAGAAGATTGTGATGTCAGGGCAAAATGTGTCATTGACTTGGGAAAGTAGACTAAAAAGACAATTTATGTTAATTCTCTTTACCAGTATTGTAATCAAATTAAACAGGATTAAAACTTGTCTAAAAAATTGATGCCACACCAATTTGAATTCATTTTATTTTAGATACTTAAATAAAAAAACATAAGTATAGAAATTGTAGGTATAATATTCAATTAACCTAGACAAGGTATCTGAAAATTATATGAGATTAAAAAAACCAGCATAATAAAAATGCATATTTTTGACTAGAGACCACTCCCCCCAACTGAATGCACTGGGTATTTTTAATGCATTTGGAATGATTTCTCCTGGTTTCAAAACAAAGGGCCCATTTACCTCCACCCCCAACAGCCGTGTGTGAAAGGCATTACCAACACGCCGAATCCCTTTCACTGCAAATTTCAGTGTTGTTGGGCAAACGCAGAAGGTTGGCCAAGAGAGCTGCCGAGTGGTTGGTCCAACACTCTCAACTCAGAACTTCTCTCTGCGCCTCAGTTTCTCCATCACTGGAACTGATTAGGCAACATTTCAGAACATAGAGCAAGCAGAAGGGTCCTCCAATGTCCTCAGACACACTCTCTCTAATAAAAATAAATTAGTAAATCATGTTTGTTAGTACAAACTCAAGTTCCATCAACCAGCTCTGACAGATGACCTTCAGCTTTAGGCTTGGCTGTAATAAGCAGTCAAAGAAATCTGTAAGTTGCCCACAGGATGTAACCTCAGAACACTGGCATCAGAGAAACTAGCAAGTCGCACACTTTCAACCCCAGCCTAAGGTTTCCTGGAAGAGCGTCACTGACTTTCCAGACGAGGAATCAAAGCCCGAGGCACCCAGTCTTCTCAGCTCTGGCAGAGCCCCTCTGTCTAGAGCTAAACCAAGGATGCTTAATCTAATAATCCAAGTCCTTCTGTCCGGTGCCCTGGTCTCTGCTTAGTTAGATTGGGCCACCAAGGAAAGAAACTCTATCCCAGGTCTGGACAGTTTGAGGGCGAAAGGAAAACCATGAGGCCGGGCAGTAGGTTTTCAGCTGTGTAATCCCCCCTCCCCCCAGGGGATATTTGGTGATATTTTTGGTTGTCAAAATGTGGGCGATGGAGATGCTACTGGCATCTAGAGGGAATGTAGCTAAATGTCCTACAATACACGGTACAGGATTATCCAGCCTCAAAGGTCAACAGTGGCCAGGTTGAGAGGCCCTGGCCTAGAGCAGCCACAGACCGAGTCTGAAGGAAGCATGACACTGTGTGTAGACTGGTCAAAGCAGGGCTTTGTTACTTGTAAATTATTGCTTTTGAAAGAGAAATCTTAAAAACAAAACAAATCTTGAGAAATGTATTCATGCTCTAAAGGGCTTTGCTTAGCATATGCTTTAGTTGTCCAAGAAACCGTCTTCTAAATCAGGATAAGAGCCTTTGAGGATGACTCCATCTGGGATTCTTTGTGAACTAGGGGCCGCGCAGCATTATCTGTCCACTTGCTGTATGGGAATCATGCTTAACACAGTCTCAGCAACAAATGTGACAGTGACGCCGCCGTCATTGGGTAACAGCCATTCCCACAGAGCTCACGTTACCCGCCTCAGGGTCAGCTCCTCAAAACCAGGACCCTGTTTCCCTCTTGTAAGGTCAGCCCTTCTAGAGACTACAATGAATGGGGTGATGTCACAGCGGGGGCGGGGGGGCAACAGCCCTTTTGGAAGTTGTCTGGCCCTTGTGTGGGAGGGGGTGACATGGTCAGGTACTTATATGGCTTGTGTGTCAGGGACGCTTTTTATCCCAGGAGGAAGCTCTCCTTCCTGTTGTGTGATCTCAGCAAGCCTGCGGGGAGCCCTGGAAGTCCCTTACAGCTCTGGTCCCTTGTCCTCTCATGCGTCATCCTCTCCTTCACGCCACTGAGCCAGCAGAACTGGGGAAGGACAGGAACGGGAGGGATGGGTCACTCCTAGTATTGAGCAAACATGTCCCAGTCCTTGGCTACCTCGCAAGCAAAGAGGACATGTGGGGGAGGTGCTTGGGGATTAATGAACCCCGGGGCCAAGTGGACTTTAGGAAGCACCTTGAGCTGTTGGAAGGGAAGGAACAGCACTCGCTGCCCACTCACCTCCCCAGAGCTCAGGCCCCTGGGGATGCGGCAATGGGCTGGGGCAAGAGTGGCTGCCCAGGGTGCCAGGCCGCACGAAGGCGCTGACGCCCAGGAGGTAAAATGGATATTCCAAAATGCTCAAACTCCCTAGGATGAGACTCTGGGTGTAGGGAACTTCCCTTGGAGTTTGAGGTGGGTTCACTGCCTTGAAAACTTGCCATTCTTTCTAGATCAAATGCTCTTCTCTTAGAATATGGTGACTGTATATATTTTTGTAATGAAAGCAAGGCCTTCAAAAACTGCCTGACAAAGACCTTTCTTTGACTTGTGAATTTATTATATGGAGGATTTCCAAGCTGTATAAATGGGATCACACTTACTAGACACCTAACTGCTTTGACTGTACAGAATAACGTGACATGAAGTCAGGGCTGTTTCAGACATATGATCACTGAATAAATAGGGCATGGAAACATGCCCAAGTACATGCTGGGTGCCAGCTCGGAGGGGGCACAAAGGAGTCTGACAGCCACTGGCAGGTTCTAGGCATTGGCCTTCGTCTTTCCTGTGCTGTTCCACATGGACGTGAGGGGCTGGCGGGCCTTCTGAATCTCTAATGTGGTGCTGGCCGAGGGGAGTAGCCTGGTCACAGGGCTTAGCTAAGTGTGTTGCAAAAGCGAGCTCCAGATGCCCACCCCCAGACACAGCTGCTTGGCACAGAGGCCTTTAAGATTGACTGTGGGACTTGCCAATTTTTCATGGCTTGAGCAAACCTTATTTTGTACATTTTCTTTCTTCTTTCCATAACGGATGGATGGGTGGATGGGTGGATGGACAGCGAACTCTATTTCCATCTTCTGACTCTGGTGCGGTAGAAGGGGCCCAGTCTTACCACTGCTTCTTTTGCACCAAGTGTTAGAGACAGGTTGCCTCCAGTGCTGGGCAGGAATGTAGCCTGGCCAATTATCACGGAAAGCACTTGGGTTTGGAGTCAGAAAGACCTGGTTTAAACTCTGGTCTGGTGCTCCTAGCCACTTGACCTTGGACAAATGGCTTAACTTCTTTGAGCCTCAGTGTCTTCGTCTGTGAAATAGGCAGATGTGAGGTCATCATGATGGTTAGGTGAGAAAATGCTTGTCCAGTGCCTGCCCCAAAGTTGACTGCAGTCACTTTTCCTTCCCTGAGGTTCACCGTGTCTTCTCCATCTCTCTCTGGACTTTGTGGTTATGTTAGGTGGATACGTGGAGGGCGGAGTAGAGATGGCTCCACTTATTGTCCATACAAGGGTGTTGTCAAGACAAGATGGGGCTACTGGGGGAGCGGTGGAGACATTGTTATTGAGAAACCTCCTTGTTTCATCACCCTCCCTGCACTAGAAACAGCTCTGTTGCCGCCAGATCAAAGTTCTCTTGTAATCAGCTGGTGGTTTAAACCCCATTGTGTAAGCAGCCTGGTTCTCTTATCTTGAGTAATTGCAGTTTAATTGGGCCTCCTTGGAAGCAATGCCCTTATTTATTTATTTGTTTTA